CATTATTCTTGAAAATTTATTCATCAACCTAAATTATCTCCCCTGATTCATTTGTAGCGGACTGCTACACCAATAAGCCTAGACCGTACTCAGAAATCTCTATGGCAGATTCTCCAACATCTAGCTAGACTCCCAGAACCAGCTAAGCTATAGCCCAGCTATAAAGGAAACGAACGCGTAGCACGGAGCACGTTTATTCAGTAAATAAACCACGCAAGAAGTGTTTACAGGAAGGAAACTCAGTCATACAACATGGCGGATTTGGTAAAACAAGTGAGGGTCATTGAGCTGCTATTGGCTGCGTGCTCTTGTCCTCAATCCGTACGCGAAGTTATACGGCCGCACCTCAAGCCTATGTGTACACGCATGCGATGACGTGTCCCACACATTTTTTTATATTCGGATCAACAATTTGCACTTTTCCTTACCTCTTACAAACGAATTTACTTTAAAAATGTCGAAAATATCTATTTCCTTGTGAATAAATGGAACAATAAAATAGAGAATCAAAAATAAAATTCCTTACTTACTGAAATGAAAGAAATAGGCAATTGTGTGCAAAGAAAATAATTCGCGAGCACTGGAACATTCCAGTAGGTAAGAACGAATGTTATTCAGGGTGCGTAGAGGTGGAACTGCATGAGCTCTGGGACACTTTGGTTGGTGTGATCGCGTATAGAAGGACATTGTCTGCTTATCAGCCTTCAATATTCATTCAGGTTGCGTGGAATCCAGTTCAATTACCAAGCATAGTCCACGTGAGCATAATTAACAATCAACACTTCTCCAGTCGTGTGTTCTGATGAAATGACTTTGCTGATATCAGGAGCTGCTGCATACGTGAGAATTCGGACAGAAATGATCGATTGTGTCCGCATAATTCTTATACTTGTATTATACCTTTATCACTGAAGCCCCTTTCTGGTCAGATGGCTATCCACCGAAGCAGGACTATTTTTTGGCTACCATGTGATTAGGGAAAGGGAAAGCCCAATCAAAGGGTTCGGATGCAATATGTATATAAATATATATATTACCAAATGGATTGTAAGAATTGTACATTGCAAACGAATTTGACATCCTGAAACAACAATTATGTGTGGGTGTATGAACGAGGGTGTGATGTGGAGCAATGGATAGCAATATGATCGATCTACTTTGTTTAGCAATGCGTTAAAGACCATTTTTTGAGAAAATACAAATAATCTTGAATCTGATACAGATTGATGAAATCGTATGCAATAAAAATCAATGCGTTTTTGCAAGTTATTCACAATTAAATGACATTCACATGTTTAAACCAATCGATCTCTTGCTCATTGGGGCTTTTAAGTGAGTGGGCTTTAGAGTATACAGAGGACTTCTCAGCTGAGCAGATATCAGGGCTAATTCATGTCATCTGAAACGTGTTCTACTGGTATACTTTAACTCATTCCAGTAACATCTCCACGCCAGGTTATGATGACATTGAGATTACTAAGGATCATTCAAGGCATTCTCGAATATAACCAGCATTCTTCTTCTTTGCATTTTATTGCTACTGGTAATGGGATATGCATCTTTGACGACAACAGAAATGCCAAAAATAGATATTTTAGCTCGAATATCCATCCTTTCTAGTTATCATTTATTCAATCTGCCATTCCTGCTGCATACATCGGACCTTCCTTGACTTCGAAAAAACTATTTTCGGCGTTTCTGTTTCCTATTCAAACAGTTCTGGCCTCCTTTGATGCTCTGGATGCTCGTATTTCGGAGTGGTCAATCCGGACGTTGTCTCGTCTGATGGCAAATGCATGCGCTTCTGAACCAATTTTCACTCCCACAATCGTCATCATCTCCAATATCGGTATAAAACCTTCATTAAAAACACACACAGCAATAAATGTTGTAATTTCAATGATCTGAGACCCGGAATGGGTATGCTTTGGAGCGAAAGTCCATATCAGCGAGTTAGCAGAGCCACAGTTGATTCGTCGCCAAATTCTTGAATCTTCATTGTGAGATGTAAGTGCAATAAGCCATTTAAAATTGCTCAAACCAGTGGGAACAGCTACACCTGAAGTTTGTTATTGGCAAATAGTTGGAATGCTATGTCAAATATTAATAAGATCTTTTCAAATAGATCTTAACGAAATTCTAGATCAATGAAAAAGAGCTGTGAATTTTGCAGCGAATTGCATCGTATACCCAATTCATTTATAAATGATACCTTAAATGACCAATTTCTTATATTTACGCTCCTGATTTGAGGAGGGATAAGTGAGCTTAACTACCTGAAAGCACACTTCTTTACTCTGGTGTGTCAGTCTGCGTTACAACAAAGTATTGAGACGCTTAGTTGATACTTTTACTCATACTCATCATTTGCCTATGAAAGATTTATATTTAGTGCCATTGCTTGTTAAATTCAATTTGTCATTCTTGACATTAAAGTGTGGTCAAAACATTTTTATCTAACTCACACATGCACACTATCTTTTTTTCTACCATGCCTTCATTAATCTGAAACAAGTAAATGATCCCTTTGGATACTCTCTCTTCTCGTTTACCATTTTGTCTTGACTCCTCTTTCCAAATTCTACTCTTTACACCTTCGTGCTCATTTTCTATTTCCCTTACCACTACCATTTGATCCAATCTCCGTCATTCTACCAAGTACTGCATCAATGTCCTTCATTTTGCACTTCTCATTTTTTATATCTAAAGTTATGGCCTTCCTCTTACACTTCAAAGCCCTAACTCTTCCAATTCCTCCTCCATTCCACCCTTCACCCCCCACCCCTCCCACCATCCACCACTTTCCGAACAAGTATTTACTAGATATTCCGAATTTCTAAAAACTCTACTTATTGGCAAAGCCACTTTGGTCCTTCAAATTGACTCTGAGTTTTCCGATGGACTAATGTACTACCCCATATTCTAGACTTTTTATTGGCCAATTTTACTGAATCATTCGTGGATTCCAGCTTTGATCATTCCTGACAAACAACCTCCCAAAACAATGTCAAATATTTTATCAATCATGTGACTATATTCAGTCTCTCTACCAACTTCTCATACTTGTTCACAAGTTTGATGCTGACATTTGATCGGTTTTGAAGAGAGTCTAACGATTCTCTTCTTAATTTTATCTCATATATGCATCCTTTGTGCTTAGAATTCACATTAAGAGAAAGCACTTGTCAATTCTTCTTCAAATTAATCAAAATTGCCTTATGGGGTTGTAGGTGTGGGCTAATGAGCTCCCATGACTCTCACAACTACGTGAACAATGCGGAACATCTGGAGTTCTCACATTCGGGTGTGTCAGAAGCAACTGTCAAATGTGAACTATTGGATGAGGTGAATACTTGCTAAACGCAACATTTTAGACGAAAAATTGTTCTTCTGACATGAGGACAGATAGTTGGAACTATGTTCTCGATTCAATGAATGGTATGACCAATATATATGAACTGGTGGTTACGCAATGGAAGGACGTAAATGAATTGAGTCAAGTGCTTAACTGTCCTGACAACATTCTTCTCCTCATCTCCTCATATGCCCTTATCTGGCTTCATTCAAGTCCTAAGATGCCCTATTGAAACACCTTATTGATCACGGCAAACATCATTTCCAATTAATTAAAAGCAGGTTGAAATATTGACCACGACAGCATATCGATGGGTGGTTGTCGGCACTAGAATGACTTTGTGGTTCTACGGACCAATGAGAAGTTAGAATACATATATATATATATATATATATATATATATACATTTGTTTTTCAATATAATACACTGCAGTTGGAAATAGTAGTGGTCGACTCCAACGGAGCATTCACTTTCTTCTCCCTTCCAACTCGTAATAATTACATCCATCATTCTTCTATTTGTTTAAATCAATCATAAAACTTTGATAATATTAGCAATTTCAACAGCCTTAGAATATGATCTCCACAGAACTACGTGATTGAACTGGACACTACAGTGAAGTCACAAATGCTAGACAAGGTAGAAAACACATTCAATCACCCGATATTCAAATGTCCCCTTGAAGGCATTATCTCCACGCTGAGTTCGTGGATGAAAAGATGGCAAATTTGGCAATTTTACTTCAAAATATCACATGGAAAGCATTTTAAAATTATAAAAGATGGTAAATTACAAATGTTAGGGTTAATCTAATAAGTTATTTGAGGAGTAGAATAAGAAAGGACTTGGTGCGTCATCGTGGATTTGAAGAATCGAACTGGACTTTCTTGTCCCACGTTTCTGGGGTGATGAGAGCGGATACAGCAACATCATAGCGAGTACTCGTTGATGTAATCTCTTCTGACGTTCTCCACCTATCTGTGGTATCTTCATCTCCTGATACACTGCTGACAGATGAGGAAAGTGGTCTCCAACTTGATTCAGTTCCTCTATGTCTTTGGAGAATGGAAATACTCCCCCTCTCCACTTGGTCTGAAGTGGAAAATTGTTCAAACTCCATTTTGGCTATTTGTCCATCGACGCTGAGAATTCCAACCTTTGAGTCCCTCGAAAAGACAACATTCGCCAAACGTGATGAGGCGGTTGGTCTACGAATTGCTGTATGTGCAAGTCTGCTCATTTCGTATTCCTTTATCACCCTCTGTATTATTGCATTTCCTTTAAGCTCTGCATAGATAGTTTTTTCTCCTACTTGTCCTTCTGCATCTTTAAGGGCGTCCACTACGTCCATTATCTCCTTCATCGCATCACTGACTGTCTCCACTCCTCCTTCAAACGGAGTGGAATTCACCTGGATGAATTCATCCACTCTCATGCTATGCTTATAACACTCATAACTGTCAATAACTCTCCGTGTTAGGGAATTGTGCTGAAGTTGAGAATAAATTGTCTTATCACCCTTTCTCGCCTTCTTCATAGCTTTCTCATTTGCAGATACAACCTCTAAAATCTCCTTGCTTTCTGCAAAATAGCCAACTTCTTCAATTTTCTTCTCCTTCAAATAGTCATCGATGATAGCCTGGATGATTTTATTACCCCTCAACATTAAGTACAAATTAGCTTTCACTCCATCAGACTGATCAGCTTCTTTGCAAATTTGTGCGTAGGCATCAGCGATTTCGTGGATTCCACTATCTCTCACTGCTACTACTCCTGTCCCTCCCAGCAGACTTGATGTGCTTGTGCGAATCGATGAGGAGAGATCACCTGATGTTATTTCATTACGACAAATAGCACATCTGGAGGCCTGTGAATGGCTTCTTAGAGATTCAAATGATCCACTTGATCTTTTCTCTGAACCCCGAGTGAAGAAACTTCGTCGAAGTGTTGATCCTCTCGAGAAATTTGATGCCACTGAGTTATCGAATGTGTCGGCATTCGATACCCTTCTGATTCTTATTGATGCTTCATAACTACTCGGATCATCAGGGTCTGCCGTACTAATATCCGTTATCATCATCCTATTCCGACAGGAACTACAAATATTAGCAGTTCTGGGTCTTCCATGAGAGTCTTCAGAGTGGGTGCGTTTCTTTGATGTGGATCTTCTGAGCAGATTAGGAGTGTCCATCAAGTCTGAGGTCATATCGTCGGTTGTGAGTTGGGACAGCTGATTTCTTGAAAGTCTGGTGTCCATTGAATAGTCTACTTCGTAAGTACTCACCTGACAACCAGCCTCTATTCCAACAGGTTGAATGTTTGCAGTCAGACGCTTGGAGACCATAGTTGGTTTGATAGCAGCCTCGCATGTAACGTTGTATGATTCGTAAACTCGATTTTGACTGGATGCTTCTGCAGCATCCCTGTCTTGAGAACTGAACGTACCGTTGGCTGTTTCCATATGTCGTAAGAGCTTATTTGTTGAGAATTGAGAATTTACGCGTCCTAATGCTCCTGATGCACCAGATTCTATTGAAATTAGTTGTCGTTCTAGTTCACCGACCGTGTATTGACGACCACACTCACAGGTCATTATAGGAGATTGATTGATTATACCAGTCATTGGCTGTTGGGAACTCATTTGCCCTCCTAAATGAATAGGAGTTCCCAATACACTTCCCATTCGTAACCGAGGTTGTGAAACCGAGGACGACAAAGTTGAGTGAATTTCTCTTAGATCGCTACTCTGTTTCAGAAGGTTTGTGGCCTTCTGGTTCAGTTGTACACATTCCAAATTTTTCGGTACCGATATAACGATTACTTCTCGTCTCTTATTAGAAGTTGAACTTGTGACATGATCTCTTACGGGGCCATAGCTATCGCCAATATATTTTGGTTTAGAAGCTGTAACACCAGCAACATAGACTTCATCACCATACTGAATTCCCACTTCTTCCAGGTCCTTCATATCAACAATCTGAATTCCAGTATCCTCTGAGAGAACAGTCGTCATTTCAGTGCCCGTCGTTGCAAGTATTGCACTGACATTTAAATCTGTTGACTTCCACTCTGTCAAGGGAATTTCCACAGCCAAATTTTCCACATCAACTTGATTCATATACACCTTGGTTGGTATCAAAAGAGTACCGACCTGCGTGCCTGTGGAAACCGTATATCTTCTCACCACTTCACCAGACGGTAATGTTACAGGTGTTACTGGGAGATTTCTAGACAGGGATATTTCAAGTATGGAGGATTTGCGTCCGAGAGACACAGACTCATCAATAAGATGAACTGAAGCCTCAGCGCTCGATGCTGTTCGGCTGACTTTGGCATTGTATGAAGAGTCACCAAAGTCCACCAACATTTCCCCTCCAAAGTCGGCCATTTGAAATCCAGGAGTCTCACTAAGGGCTACATCGACTCCAATGTTTGTGGGATATAATAGTGATGGAGTTCTACTCTCACTGAGTACTGTAGCCGAGTTAATGGTTCCTGATTTTAAGTTCATTCTCTCAAGATTTAGTTGTTGGGGAAGGAGAATGACTCCAACTTGTGTACCTTGGTCATACCTCACGACTGATCTCCTGCTAGCTGAGCTATGTGGTGGATTGATTTGGTGAGTGATTGTATCACCTGCGTGCACAAGCCTTTGGCTTGAAGAATCAGAGAGAGCTAAAGGTGTTGATAATGTTCTTTCAAGTAAACGGCGAGAATGATCCAGACTGCCATATCGTCGATCTGATCTTATTGATCCGATTTCAGTGGTGAAATTTTCTCCGTCAAGCGTGATATTTACCTTTTCGGCATATTTGATGGGTACCACATCAACACCCACTGTTTCCTGCAACATCATATCGTACTGGAATTCAGACGACATTAGGAAATTGTGAAAATCAATTTCTTTTTCCGATAAGTTGCTAGGCATGCTCGCCATAGATTTCCCATAGTCTCGTTGAAGAGAAATTGCATGGGGTATGAGTCTCACACCAACTTGCACTGAACTGTCCATAACATCCTTAGGTGCAGAATGTGAAGGGGTGGATAAGATTTCTGCAATAGGCGTGAGTGTTTGACCAGGAATATGGATGATTCCAGGACGACGGAATGAGCCTGTGGAAAATGTGTTGGTCTCTCTGAGGACCGGTGTGGTCTGACCAGATCGAAGTGTATCATGAAGTAGACTCAGATCTGCACTCTGTTGAAGTAGACTAGCCTGAATGTTTGTGCTCCTATTTATGGCCGATGAAGCAATGGGAAGAATAATCTTCTGTTGATCTTGACTCACTGATATACCTGATGGTGCTCTACCACGTGGTGACTGATATGCTCCTTCAACCATTCCAATATAGTTCTTTCCATTCGCTTGGATGCCAATCTCATCCACTTTTGACATTGGAATGACGTGTATTCCCGGTGCATTTGTCAAAACTGTTGTCATTTCTGTTGCAGAAGATGCCAGAACTGCACTTACGTTCACTTCTGCACATTTAGACTGAGTTAGCGGCACTGAAACCTCTAAGTTCTCAACCATTACCTTCTCCATGGTAACGGTTGTTGGAACTAGAATGGTACCAACCTGGACAGATTTTGAACTCATTGAATGCTGAATCGAATTGGATATTCCACCAAATGTTAGAGCTTTATGTGCGTCATCAACACTTATTGAAGGTTCAATTAAGGAAATATATCCACTTGCATGAGACCTTTTAGCACTAATTGATCTCTCCTTGATAGCTATTCGAGTCTGATTTGATTTGGTGTCTCGTTGTACCTCTGCTTTGTACTCTCCTTGATCCAATTTAATTGCAATTTCTGACAGGGCTCCCACAGAAGTAATATGAACTCCTGAGCACTCGGAAAGTATAGACGAAGCCGCGATATCAGTAGGACATAGAATATTTTCAGTTGAGATAGATTCAACTAAACGTGGAACTTGATGGGCATCAAGACTCATTTGTTCTAGTTTTAATTCCGTTGGAACAAGAACTGTTCCCACCTGGGTCATTGCCTCAACTTTTGAACTCTCTCTACTCCTATCAATCTTCCCAATCTGACTCACTTCATCAGAAAACTCCAAATGATGTACGCGAAGACGTGGCCAATCACTTCTTGACTCAGAGTAGCTCGCCTCAATTAGATCCCTGGTCGAATCAACAGATGTGTAAAATATGTCGCCTTTATATCCCACTCGAACATCATGAACATCTCTAATGGGTAAAACATTCACTCCCTTTGATTCAGTCAAAATGTGATCATATTGTGTCGGCCTTGAATACAGCATCGCTCCAACACTGACCTCTTCAAAGGTTCCATCTTTTCTCTGCCCACTGATAGCCTCCATATTCTCAACACTCACTTTATCGACAGTAATTGTTTTGGGAACCAGATTCAATCCAACTTGGACATTTTTGTCCACAAGCTGGATCCGATTTTGTATGAAGCTGATCTCACCGTTTGGCATTTTTGTACTTTCCCAGTAACCGGCTGTACGGTTATTCTTTGTACCGTATTGAGCTTCTTTTACACGTAGAATGGTGACGAAATTAGAATCATCCGCATCACTTGTGGTATTAAGGTCCGCATTTCTTGCTGTTATGCTACCCACATCAAAGTGCTTTGATCCATCTGTGCTCCCAATTACAGAAGTATTCCTATTGGCTGACACGACACTGGTTACAAACTTATCTCCGCAATAACAGAGCGAAAGTTCAGCACTCTCATTAATTTGAACGACTTGAACACCAGTCGATTCTGTCAATTCTTCCTCATATTGGACTCCTGAAGTGCATAGGACAGCACTGGCATCAACTTCTCTTGAATCTCGAGTTTTCTTACTTGATAGAACAGCTTTCATGTTTTCTAATTTGAGAGGTCTGACATCGATGCTATTAGGGATTAGCTTGACTCCTACCTGGACACCACGATCACTCCAATCTAATTTTGACGCACTCACTGATGAGTATTGTCTGTCTGGAGATGTAGAATTTCTTTGTGTTGCTGACCTATTTTGATTGCCCGTGTCAACCATAACCAGTCTATAGCGAGGATTGGGGTGAGTGGAATATGTTTCAGGTTGAAGTATAGCTTCACCTTGCAAGGACAAATTATTTTCAATTCTAATAGTTTGTTTTGAAGTCGTTACTGCTTTTTCAGTAGATTTTCTAGCAGAGGAATTATCCAATGATTTGTTCTCAAAAAGCGGAGTCTTTCCATTTACTATTCCACTCCACCACCCATGAACCTTGTTTGATTTGCTAGTAACTTGAATTTGAGATTCGGGACTATCACGGGCCATTTCAACTTCAATTTCACCTGACTGATCCAATGAGCAGATCACTATTCCACTGTCATCACACAGCTCTGACTTCAGTGCAATTTCAGCTGGACAACGTATCGACTGAAGGCTAATACGCTCCTTATGCCCTGAAGAAGAAACCACTGATTCTAATTTCATGTTCTTGACGGGAATTTGTGACAACTTCAGTACTTCAGGAATAAGCTTTGTTCCAACTTGAACGCCAATGCCATACTGTTTTACACGTCTATCCGCTGAATAGATGGAATCTTCTTCCATATTCTCTATGCTTGTATCAGCTGTTTGAGTATTTGCCTCGGTGCTCACATATCCTAGATAAGACGATGGCTTTCCAGAGGAATAATCTGAGGTAGCAGGCTTTGCCTTAATGGTAACGGTTTGATTTCTCATTCTGTTGCTGAGGAGATCACAAACCAAGGATTGGGAAGCGATATTGGGCATTCGGTGATGACCATCAAATTGGCCGGTTTCCATAATGATGCTAGCTGGAAGAAGATTAGGTCTTTCGGGAGTTATTATCTGCGTTATGACATCGGATGAGGAGGAGCTGTACTGAACCATAGCTTCAGATCTCGAGCTGTTCAAATTGATATACTCCAGTTGTTCAATCGGAACCAACTCGATTCCATTCTGACCATCAACAAGAGTGCTTTGAAGCTCAACCTGAGCAGGATATAATACAGCGGAGGCCGATGACATCTGTCCACTTATAGGTTTGCCCAAATTTGTAAGTGATATTTCCATATTCTCTAATTGTACAGGCGATACTCCAATTGCTAGTGGAACCAGCCTACTTCCAACTTGCATTGATGCATCTGAAGTAACGGAGAGTACTTGAGAGGTTTCACCTGAAGTCATCATCTTACTTCCGGAAACTCCACATGGAATCAGTCGAACAACGTTCCTCTGAGTTGACTTACTCGAGCAACGTTTTCTCTCGTCCCTATTCATAGAGATATGTTCAAAGTTTACTTCTGTTTTGAATTCTTCATGCAAAATATCAGAATCTTCGTTTTCAACCTTTTCTCTTACGTCTGTTTGCACAGAAGGCAAGGAGCCGCTTACACTGATAACAACCCTGGAAGCCTTCTCAATTCCAGAAATATGAACACCACTTCCTTCTGTCAGACGCGATTCGACTTTTATCTTAGCTGGACATGATACTGAATTCATTTTCATGTTGTAATTTTCGCGGCCAGTTGCATCAAGGAATTCTACTTCCATTTTCTCAATATCATACCTCTTCATAGATATCTGTGTTGGCACCAACTCTAAACCAACCTGCACTTCAGAATTAACAAGTTCCACATTCTCTTGAAGAAGATTCGAACTCCTAATCTGTGTCTGCAGATCAGATGTTGGAGTCTTAGAATCACGGAATGGTCTTCCAGCTACGTTTGATATCACAAAGTTCACCTTTGGCGCAACTCCAGACTGTGCGGTTATTTCCCCAACTGCAACCTTTCTCCTGAAATCTTTAGCTCTTAACACAACTGCGGCTTGAGTGGTTAAGCCTCTGCCTGTTTGTGCATCAACAGAGTTGAGATGCATGGATCCTGTTACAACTCCGTCGTCATGAGTAACAATAAAATTGCTTACTCCGCTATAATCAGCAATAGACAGATCACTACCCTCATACAGCTCAGTTTCAAATTTCATATCCGATGGGCATATGAGTGAATCAATTGGCAGTCCAATTTCGATGTCCTTTAAAGGAGTGCCGAGCGAAACAGCCATTTCCTTGGTACTGATTTTGTTCACAGTTACTTCCGTGGGAATAAGCCTTGAAGATACCTGAGTTCCATAATCATGAACTACTCTACTGATCAAAGTTTCCACATCGCATGTTGCGGTACTGTTTCGAATCTCTGATTTGGGTTGTTTTTCCCATTGAAATTCAACATTTTGCTCACCCAAGTCGGACGTTGCTGAGAGACTACTCCTTTTCTTATATTCCGAGAGATAGGTCTGCAGATCGGAATGAATTCCACGAGAGTGCAAAATACAAGAGATCTGAGTCATTACATCCGAAGTTGCTACTTCACTATTCATTGTTCCTGTGGATTCCTTGTCGGGAAGAAGACAGAAAGTGGTCGATGTTCCTTCGACAACCCTGTTCTTTTGGTTGTGTGAAGGAATATTGACAACTCCCATCTTGGCTACTGCTTGTATAGCTGCAGTTCTGCTCATAACTCCTATCTGTGTTTGAACTTCAGAGGACCCCTGCGTTTCAGTCCAGGCAGATTCGCTGCTTGTTCTGGTAATAATCTGGGATTGGACATCACGAATTTTGAGTCCTCGATGGGAGTCTTTGGTGGCATGGGCTACTGCATTTCTCAGTTCCAAATTCAAGGAATCCACATCATTTATTCCCAAAATTTGCACGCCTGGACCCTCATAGAGATTCACTGATGTGCCAACCGATACTGGGCAGAGAACTTC